TGAGGACCATGATCCTTATATTGAAGCGTCTCAAGCAAATATGGTCTACTATGTTAATGATGAAACTGATAAAGAATGGAGTGTTGCTGTGCATCTAAAGCCAAGAGATTTGTTTGACATGGGAGATGTTGTTGAAGAAGAAATTTACGAGAATGAGCCATACCAACAACAAGAATTGGAACAATTTTTTTATGTTAATTATGAGAATATCAACGTTGCAATAGAGAAGCATATGTCTGACTAGGAATTAGGCTATTTTATATGAGTGAGAAAGATAATTTTCTAAGTACTGGATGTTAATTTTCTACATTTGTGGCAAGTGTTTTCTTCAAGTTTAAAACTTGTCTTTTTTCTGAAGATGAGTATATCTTTTACATTCCTCTAGTAAGCTCTTAGTTTCTTCAATTTTATTGTCTAGCTTTCTATTCTTTATTGGTATATATAGTGTGATGTGTATTGACATTCTAATGCATGTTGTATATTACCATCTTTAATATGATTATTAGCGAATATCGATTCTGCCATGCACTAGACTTCGCATTTATCTTCTGTTTGCATGTTTGATGGCATGAAAATAAGGGTCCATTTGATCATCTGATCTAGCAGACAAGTATTTGTGTGCCACTGTGAGATTCATTGATTTCTATTGCATTATAGATTATTTGATTCTGTTAATTAGGTACTTCAAAAGTGCTTAATTGCAAATCTCATTGCTCTCTATAGAGCAACTAACATGGTAATTGTATGACTCTTGTACAGGAAACTTTGTAATTAAATTGTTCAATCTTTTACCATTCTGGTATATAGTTTTATGCAGTTTATTTTATTGATTCCAGATATGTCAAGGGCCAAGCGTTATCAGAACTTGCAAAAGTCAGTTCAGCCAGCATCTACTTCACAAGGTGTAGCACAACCTTTATCAACAACTGAATCAACACCTTCACATCTTGATGATACGCCGCAGTTGGTATCAATTTTTCAACTGACACCTTCAGTCCAGGCCGCAGCACATCAGACTGCATCAGTTAGGACAACATTACAGCCGACCCTATCAGTTCGGGCTGCAGCACAGCCGGCTCATTCGGTTCAGGCCACATCACAGCCGGCCCCATCAGTTTGGGCTGCAGCACAACCGGCTTATTCAGTTCAAGGCACATCATAGCCAGCCCCGTCAGTTCGGGCTGCAACTCAGCCGGCTCACTCACCACATCACAGCCTGCCCCGTCAGTTCAGGCAACATCACAGCCGACACAATCCAAAAAGCGTCCTGGACGTGAGTGTCCGCAACATTGGACAGTTGATGCAATAGGTATTTCTTTTCTTGATTTATTCAAGCGTCACTATTTAATATTGCCTTTGTCTCTGTTTCTTGATTATAAATTATGGACATGAAACGTCATGATCCCATTTCTCTTGTCCTTGATGTACTATTTCTCATTTGATTACTGGTGAATGATTAGGCAAGTCCTTAGAGCACTAAAGTTGGGAAGAGCCATTGAATTTTCTTGGAGAAAAAGAAGTGATTTTTGAACTTGATAAGATAGAGTTGAGAATTGAACAGATCACAGCATGTGTAATTTGTTACTGGACTGTTTGTATTTTTACCTTGATAAGATAGAGTTTGTTTGGCACTGATAAAAACAAGTTTGTCAGTATTTTTACCTTCTTGACATTGCATTTGAGTGATCCTTTTATGTGTTTTATTTGTAATTTGTTACTGGGCTTAATCCAAATATTATGCATTTATGCACTCACAAAATTTTTAGCTTAAAAGGTGTCGATCGCGAAAGTCATTAGGAGGCAGGAGCGGAGCTAGCTCTTCGCCTACGGCTTCGAACAAACTTAGTAATTTTGTTATTATCTTAATGAAGTTTGGGTTATGCAGAATATGGATTAATTAGTAATTATTGAGATCTGAAATCTCTGAGGAAATAGGACAGGAAGGATCCTTCTTTGTACTATAACTGAAACAGGACAGATATCCAATTCTTAAGTCATTTCCTGTCACTGCTAAACAGTTATTAGTTTCAATGTGTTTGTTAAAGAGTCTGCGCATTCAATCCTAATTTAATCACTACTTGGGAGAATTAACAGGTTCTTTGTTAAGCACTTTTGGACTCTACTTCATTCAAATAAGAATATTGCTTCGGATGGAAAAACTTTGAAACTCTCAATTAAAGCAATAAGTTAACTCATGAATAGCCTCATTTTTTTCAAAGTCATGGAAAGAAGAAGATAAATGTAGAAAGAAAAATATAATGAAGTAGAGTTCAAAAGTGCATTTACCCTAACAGACTAACATATATGTTCTGCATTTTACTTTGGAGGTTGGGCCTATAAATTATCTTGCAGAACGATTTCAATGTCCCACCAGAAATGATTTGTCCCTTTCTAGTTTATGTTTCAGTACTTCTAATCTTGAAAATTTTAGATAATACACCTTTCATTTCTAGCAGAAATTAAGTAGATCATATCTATTTCTCAATAAAGCAAACTATATGGTGGCATGTACCATTGATAATGAAATGTATCCACAAATACAGAAACTAAAAGAAATATTCAAATTGCCAGAATGATGTTGCATGCTGTATTGAATACAAGACAACTTTTTAGCTTTTTATCAGTTTCTACAAAAGTTAGTTCGATCTTTTAACTTGATGTTTATTTTTAAAGATTCGCAAGGAGCTACCAAGAAACTCAAAGTAAAGGTTAAGGATATGATGTATTTATCCGACGGAAAATGTATTGTGGTTGAATTTGATGATATGGATCAGCCAATTGGAGAAGGGCAAGGTGTTCTTGCAGGCTTTTGTGGAATTTTAGCAACCGACTGCTCCTTATTTCCAATTCACTTCAACAAATGGCCAGATTTACCTAAGTCATACTTCAATTGTTGCTTTGATCAAATTATAAAGATATAAGCTCTATTTTCTTATTGTTGTAACTCTGTTTTATGTCGTTAGACTGTATATTTGTATGTAATAAATTAGCTAACAGAAGTTTTATTCCTGTAGCCACGATTCTGTTTTAAGACAACTGAGTTAAATGCACGAGCATATGTTTATAGTTCTATTGGAAAGAAGTGGAGTTCAGGAAGGCAAAGGTTGTGGTATGAGTTCAATGACCCACTTAAGACCAAAGCATCAGGGATTCCACGGGATCAATGGACTTCTTATGTTGCTTACCATTTTAATGAAAAGACAATGGTATTTATTTGAATGCTTCAATTAGTATGTGTAATTATATACTTTTTTATTTGTATATTTGAGTTATGTGTATTTTTATGAGGAAATGAGTAAAAGAAATGCTGAAATTCGGAAGAAACAAACTGTTGCACACACTGGTGGTTCCAAACCAAACTCCAGAAGAAGAGCTGAAATGGTGATAAATGTTAATTCAATATGTTTTACTTTAATTAAACTTNCAATATGTTTTACTTAATTAACTTGCAAACTGTTCCTATTTAGTCAAGTTATTCTGACTTGATTTTTTATTTATAGATGGCTGAATCTGGACAAAACCCTGGACGAGGCAACTCTATCTTGCTACTCATAAGAAGGAAGATGGGTCATATGTTAATGAAGCAGCAAGAGAAATATGTGTAAGTTTCTACTTGTTAAAAGCTTCATCCTAACATCAAGTTAATAAGATTTCAATCTTTCAACTGATTGTTAAACTGTTTCAAGTGGCGTAGCAGTATTAGTACTATGAATAGTAGTAAGTTGTTTGGTTTCTCTTGTGGAATAGTAGAAGTAGTTGTTTCAGAATTTACTATAATATTATTGCCTTTTGGGGTCTGTAGTTGCAATCTTTATAGCCAGCAGGATTAGTTTATGGTTTTTGCGTTCTTGCATTTTTAGCTGCAGTTATTCAACATATTAAGGTACGTGTTTTGTGGAATTACATTCTGCCGTTGCCTTTGTAGTTGATATATTACTTGAACCTAAGTTGTAGTAAGTTGTAGCTAAGTGCCGTTGCTCCATTTCTTACGTGTCCTGCACAAATTTCTCCTACTTCTTTCTTGTACCAGCTCCCTACTTCATTGATTCCTTCTTCTGCTTCCTCTTCCTTCCCTTTTTCTTTGGCCTAGGACTAGTGTCAGAACTTGAGATAGAGCCAGAGCTGCAGCTAGAACTAAGGCTAAAAGTGGAGAAAGAATCAGAACTAGTGCAAGCACTGGGGCTGGAATAGGGAATAATAATTTCGGCAACTGCATCATGAAGCCTGTAGCAACCACAGGGAGTCGCTACAATTTCACCCTTTTCACATAGGTTTCTCAGATGGTGCCTGAGTATAGTAACATGAGCCCATTTGCATGGATTTTCATGACTTGGATTCCATGAAGAGAAGGATGTAACAGAAGAGGAAGAGTTAAAAGTGGAAAGCCATGACATTAAAGAAAGCCCTTCTTGATTTAAACCGGAAATGACAGTAGGGAATAAAGATATGTTCAGAAACAAGAAGAATAAGGTAATTGTTAGTTTGCTTGACATGATTATAGTGTATGTACTCTGTTCTACTGTACTTCTATGTCTGCTTCTTGTTGCCAAATGCAGTCATTAAAATTTATCTGCAATGATTTCTTTATAATGGTTACTGGTATTGGAAAGGCACCAGAATTTTGCAGGAATTATTATGTAAAAGAAATGGAATTTTCAGAAATTGTTTTCCTCCAAATATACCTGTCTTCAACTAGATTCAGAAATTGTTGCCAAATGCAATCATTAAAATCTAATTATTGTTTCTTAGATTATGCTTGCTGCATTCTTTTGTGTGCTGAAACATAAAAGAACTCATTAGCTGTTGTGTATCTTATATTCAGGAAAAAATTGAGCTAGTTGTAAGTCAAAGCGCCACAGATGAGTCTGAAGTTTCACCAAATGATGCCGTTGGTAAGGTGCTAGGAAAAGAGCATTCTGGAAGGGTAAGGTGCTTGGGTTAGGAGCTATCCCGAGTAAAGTTTTTAGACAAACAAGACGTCATTTTGGAGGTATAAATTCTTCTAGTTGTGATAATGGTTCATGTTCGTCCAAATGCGAAGAGAAGTACAATCAGATTGTAAATGCTCACAATCAAAGCCAAGAGAAGTACAATCAGATTGTAAATGCTCACAATCAAAGCCAAGAGAACTATGCTCAAATGATGACTGCACACCTCCAAATGATGAATGCTTTCAAGACATATATGATTATGAAAGAAGGGACAATACCTGAACAGTTTGCTGGGATTTTCGTTTCTCCTTCGGCAGCGGTAAATAAAATCTAGCTATATGTAGTTTTTTAATTTGAAAAACTAAAAGAAAAAAACTTTAAATGCTTTTTATTTCTTTGCAGCCAAGTGATGCAGCTAGCGGATCCATTTCACCTATGGGCGTAAGAGGATCATCTATTGATAGTAATCTTAATGAAAATCATTGAATTTCTTTGCAAATGTAGTAGATGATTAAGTATGATACTTTACTTGAATGGTTGAACTAGATATTTTGTTTTTAAGTTTAGTTTTTGAGATTAATGACAATACTATCTACTTATGATTCTATAATATGTGGATGTTACTTAACATTTATGCATCTTTAGTATTATGTTAATGTCTCTTAAAATTTATTTAATATAATTAAAATATTGTATTAGAAAAATAGGTATCCTCATAATTCCTCTCCTACCCCCCCCCCCCCCCCCTCCCCAAAAAAAAGGTCTTCATGGAATAGGGGAGGTTACAACTGCCATTAAATAAACAAATTGAGGGGGTTAAAGCTGCCGCGAAAATAGAATTTCTCATATTTCGAAAATATATTGCGGAGGTTGAAACCGCCGCAGGATGACTATTTTGCGGCGGTTTTACCCCCCGTTACAAGTTGCACATTGATTAAAAATTTAATTTGTGGGAGTTAAACCGCCGAAAAATAACCTCCGTTAAATGGTTACGGCGGGCTTTAAAAAACTGCCACAAAATGATTGTGGCGAATCTTACAGCTGGGGTTTTGAAGACCGCCGCAATGTCAAATAGCGGGGGTCCCTGACCGCCGCAAAACGTGAAAATACCCCCGCAAATAGGCTATTTTTTTGTAGTGTTTCCACACTCGGACGATTCTAGAGCTCCAAAAAGGAGAGCTTTCAACCTGGTTATTGAAGGTAAGTAATTCCTACCTTACTGTGAGTTAACTACACAGATTATGGGTAGGTTTCAACATGAAATTTGGTAAAAATTGCACGGGAACCTATACCCATTTTTTTTAAAACTTTTAACTTGTACCCACTTCTTAAATAACTTCAGCTCCCTTTCTTCTCCTTCTTCTCCTCCTTCTTCTCCTCCTGCAAGTCCAGTGTTCTTGGCTATGTTCTTGATCTAGTTCATGTTCTTTCTTAACTAAATGTTGACGTCATTTATAAAAATTGTGCGACTGGTCTTTCATGAACGTTCAAATAAGCTTTCTATACGTTTTTACGAATTTCGTTCATTTAAATCTGTCCAATGAATCGTCTATCAGATTATGTCAATTGATGTTTGATAAAAGAATGAAAAGAACTTTCCTAATTACTTGAGAAAAAAAATCTATTGCGCATGTGAAATTACTGAATTCGGTAACCCAAAGAGGAGAATTTTATCCAAGCTTACAAAAACTTCAGCTCTAGAGCTGAAGTTTCCCGGTTACAACACAAAAACTTCAGCTCCTAGAGCTGAAGTTTCCCAGTTACAACACAAAAACTTCAGCTCTAAAGCTGAAGTGTTGTCTTTAATAATTGCTTTCTACGATAGGTTACTTTCTGTAGTTGCTGCAACTGTGCATATGGTAATTTATTGGCATTAATTTTCTTCCCTCCAGCTTCTGACTACTGCGTGTTATCCTTTGAAGTAAGCTAATTAAAGTCAGATAGTATCTGTATTCATCTTCTTGTAGTAGTTTTATGAATATTTTCATATTTTGTTGGCAGACGAGAAATTTGTTGGCAAACGAGAAATACCTAAAATTGCCAGGTGCACATAGTTTGATAACTTCAGCTCTAGAGCTGAAGTTTGTTAGTTACAAAACAAAAACTTCAGTTCTAGAGCTGAACTTCATGCCCGGCTACTAAAATGCTGAAGTTTTGCGTGATTGTCTTTGCTACTTCAGTCCGTATGCTGAAGTTATGTGAAAAAGCGGGTACGCTTGCAATTTTTTTTGCAAAGCGGGTACAGGTTAAAACGTGACAAAAAAAGTGGGTATAGATGCAAATGCCCCTGAAATTTGGTAGAAATCATGGGTTTGGGAGAAAAACCTAGGGTTCAAGGAAAATGATATTTTACCACGAAAATGATTATGAAACTTAGTGAAAATCATATATTATGTTCTTAAAGTTAGGGTAACAACTTTCTTCAAACGTTTCCGGAATCCGAGCACGTGGGCCCCGAGGTGAATTTTAGGAATCTTGCAATTTGGGTTGGGGAATCATTTTAATAGTGGAAATATAAACTTTTGAGCATAGATTAATTACTTTATGTAATGTTTGGCTAGTTCCAACTCGTTTGGCATCAATTCCGGAGGTTTGAGCGCAATCTTGAATTGGGAAGTAGGCTTTGAGAAGAGGTAAGTCTCTTTTCTAACCTTGTAAGAGGGAAACACTCCAACAAACAACATTTTTTTCACTCAAACTACAAAACAACTATAAATATGAAGTAAATTCCTTACGATATGTTATGGTGTTTTAATATGCAATTTTGATAACCCTAATACCATAATCAAAAATGCATTTATGCCCTACTGCATAACATATCTTAAGGAATTTTAATATGTGTGTACATTAGTTACAATTTGTTATGTTATATCTTTACAGTATCTGGTTCACATACGTTGTTAAATTCATGTAGTTATTTGACTTGAAATTAGAGAAATTGACTTAAGATAAAGTTAAGCATCTACGAGAACATCAACGAATAATACCTTTTTATTAGCCTGTTAAGTGAGATTGGTTCATGTTCTTGAATGTGTAATCCAATTATTGAGATTATAACGCTGAGTCTCTGACCTTAGTGTCAAGAATTTAAATCTCAAGAATAGTTTGAGTATTATTGTTAGTTAGACTTTTCTACCTTTAATACGTATATAAAGAATAATATTTTAATTGACAGCTTTGCACCCGAGCTTCGTTAGACTCCGCTAAAATTAAGGGGTAGATGAAGAAAATAAAAGAGATGAAGCTGAAAAAAATTCCATTATGGTGTATAGTGAGAAAATTAGAGCAAGTGGAGTGTTATGGTTGGTTATTCGTTACTTGAAATAATCTTGAACCACTAAGTGGTAAATGTAGTTTGACCTAATGTAAAACTTAAAATGCCAAATATAATAAATCAATACAGTGTGTATACATTGAGAAAGTAGTTCCTAATGTGTTATAGCATGAATATATGTCCTTTAATCCTAGTAAGAAAGAAATAGACATGACTAAAGGCAGTTATTAGGCTGGCGACACCAGGCCTGGAGCCAGGTCTAGTTCGAGTTTTGAAGGCTTATTTCGTCTCTTGGTTTGACTAGGATTCGGCTTACACGTTTAGATCTTTTACTACACATATAAATAGACCTAAAAATGCCACTTTTGAAGGGGAGATCGAGTTTGGACACAACTTTAGACTTAGGAAGAGCACACAGCCGTCGTGGAGACCTACGGAGGCAAGAACACACTAGGTGCAAGGCGGAGAGTTCTCCTACGAGTTTTTCACTTCCTTCTTCCTATTTTCATTATTGGTTATGAATTCTCGTATTGTAATTATGCATACTACTATGAATAGCTAATTTGTTATCTAGGGTTTTGATGGAACCTATTGGGGGATGATTTTCCTGTTACGTTAATATAGTTTTGCCGTAGTATTTTCTCTATTTGTTCAACTACGTTATTATTGTGGTTGGTTGAAGAGCTCTCAATCGAATGTGCCTATTTAGTGTGTATTACTCGGGAGAGAGTGCATATTTAGGTAGTTGTTGAACAACATCACTCCTAACGTATATGAGGTATCAATACGGAGGTTTTAAAGGTGAGAATAGGGATAACGAAACCTTGGTGCGATCCGAGTGAGCCGTACTTAATGTCAGCTAGCGTAATTCGAAAAAATATGTCTAGTAAATTGTGGTAGTTACTCGGAAGAGAATAACAACACTCAAAGTGCTCATGATCGGCAGAGAAAACTTAGGCAAATTTATAGGAAACGTAGCGGAAAGGACTCCGGCAATAGGAAAAATCACAACTCTAGACCTCCTTAATCTTGTCTCCAACCCTTATTATCCCTAATTGTAATCTATTAAATTATTTTGTTAGTTAATTAGATACAAGAATCTTAATATTTATGACATAGGAGGCATAGGACCTATGTAATTTGGAGGCAAGACAATTGCAAATTGAAACAATTCCAGTTTTTTATCGAGTGCATATATATATAACTCTCCCTCGTAGAAATGATTTTACGTGAACCAGATTAGTAGTATACAAATTAGGATACAGTACATATCAGCATAATTTTATCTTTTAAGGTATTATTTTAAGGTTGGACTTAAAACTTTTGAATGTTCCAATAAGTTTTATAGCTATTAACATTCGTGAATTAAATAATGCTAGCAAAAGCCCAAACAAAAATCAAATCAATACTAATGCTAACAAAAGACATTCAATTCAATACTACGAACGGGAATGTATTGAATATTTTATAGGCATATAACCTTAGATCTCAAGTGGTAGTAACAAATCTAGTAACTCATTTAATACATGCCACGCACATATTTGGCATGCTGATCTATACTATATGGAGGGACAGGAACAAGCTCAGATTCCATGGAGGGACAATAACTGTCAATTGTATTTGTAGAGAAATCGCAATTCATATTCACACGAGAGGAAGATCAATACAGAAATGGCAAGGAGCACTTGAGAAGCTGAACTATTATTCTTAGGAGACAATGTAGTCTGTGTTCATCTTGTAGGTACTTAGTCGAAGTATTTTCCTACTTAGACTACAAGCTTGATACAAATAGGATCGTATATGGTCAGCATCTACTTGCTTTGTAAAGTCTATTTTTTTAGAATTATTAGAAATACTATTTACCAAAAAAAAAAAAAAAAAAAAACCAAAAACAAAAAAGGTGATACGGACCAAGATGGAAATGTTAATAGTAATAATTTAATGGTTTATAGTGAATGTAGATTTAATAAAATGCAGAATTTGTAGGGATAAATTATCGGATGGGATGAGAAATGGGATATGTCACAGATTTGAATTACTTTGTTGAAGGAATTACCATTGTTTAACCAAAAAATAGAATTTCAGTTAAAACTAGAAATTAAGAGAAAAAATCGGGTTACTGATAATCAGGAGACGAAAAGAATAAAGAATTTAGGAAAATAATAAAGCAGTAAATAAGTTTGTATTTCAATGTAATCTCAATGATATTTCGTGTCCTTACAAATGCTGAGATCTCCTCCTTTTATAGTTGATTCTTCTAGGAAAAGGTATAATGACTCAGTCTTAAAGAGACAATTAGGAGCATTAAATGACATTAAATGAAATGTTACTCAATCATACCTATTCAATGCTGA